AACATTATAATCACTAAACAACATCAAATGAATTTATGATATATTATATTTTTCCTTTCGGTGGACAAAGATATTATGTCGTGAAGATGATTGATTTCATTTTGGACTTTAGAGAATTGCAATATTACCATTTAGATGATGTTTGAACATATGTAATAAGGACAAAGAAAATTATATTATTTGTTGCCAACGAGACACTTCGAATAAACTAGCATAATGAGAAAAACTTTTGTTGTTGCATGAATATGAGTCTTATATTTTAAGTATAAATTTTGAATTTGGACTTTAAAAATTAAAAGATCTTCATGTGAAAAAAATATTTTTCTTTGATAGGTCTTATGAGGCACGAATTAGAGTATATTGAGGTTCATAGTGTATAATCAATAATTAAATATTAGAGAAGAAAGAAAAGATCAACTTACACCCTAAGATCTTTGGACTATCTATTTTATAAAATACATTTACAAAATATGAAAAGTGTATAGTAAATATTTAGTATGAATATACATATACTATATATTAATGTAAATATATTATATACATATAACATATTCTATATACAATATATGCTACCTAATATTTTGGCCATATTTAATAAAGCAGATAGACGAAGTGTGTACATTTAACTAAATCCCCCATTAGGATGGGACTTGGAGATTAAAAAGTCTCGATCACGCTTATGCATAAAACTAAAACAATTAAGAGCCACCAAATTTAAATGTTAATTATACCACTCCGCCTGTCAAATTCAAAATAATTGATTCAGATGCTTGCCTTTTCAATAAGCTCTTTTTTTTTCTTTTTTTTTTCCAATTCAGTAGAAATAAACTCTCTTTTTTTTAAGGTAAAAAATCTGTGCCATGTAAGCACTTATTGAAAATTAATTTCATGATCGTGATAAATTTTAGTACACGATTTAAGATAACTTAATATTTAAATATTCATACTGTTTGAATTAACTATAAAAATCTCCTTTTGCTTCTCTCTTTAACATTTGGAGAATAAATATCAGATACATTATAATTTAATTTGTGTGCAATGTGTTTAGTGCAAATATTATTGTTGATACATAATCTCAATTATTTCAAACTTAAATTAGGATAAATCTGATTTAGAGTTATGTTATACTTTTGATAACGTATGTATCGTTTGCATATATCGGGGGAATGGACAATGTTCCGCGAGTTTTGAAAAAATTGAGTTTATTATGATTGGAAAAAATATTAAGATAAGATGTAATTAACATCCAAATTACTGGCCCTTCTGTACTTTATAATAATTATTTTTTTTTTGTAAGAAGATAAAAGATGATCTCTTGCAAAAAAGAAGTTGTTTACAGAAAAGGAAATGTGTTGTTTGGTCATCTCATCGACTTGGGCCTATTTGAATGGACCCATTGGGCTACGATCCGAATCCACTAATCACCGACCCTTTTCAATTTGAAAACCTATAGCTGGGCAAGATATCCCGCTCAAACCCTCATTTCAAAAGCTCTTTCTCTCTCTCCCCTCTTTGTTTCTCTCACTACGGAGCCTTCTAGAGATCTTCTCCGTCGAGGAAAAAAGTGAAGGAGAAATGGCGGCACACATAGGAATGATGGATGGGGCATACTTCGTCGGTAGATCGGAAATCCTGGCTTGGATCAATTCCACACTTCATCTAAATCTTTCCAAAGTCGAAGAGGTATTGAATCTCTCTGCAACATTTGTTAAAATTCTAATTCGTTATTGCTTCCTCCAAATTGATGCAATTTTGATCCACGCACAGGCGTGTACTGGTGCAGTTCATTGCCAGTTAATGGATGCCGCTCACCCAGGGCTAGTCCCTATGCACAAGGTCAATTTTGATGCCAAGAACGAGTATGAGATGATCCAAAACTATAAGGTTCTTCAGGATGTATTCACTAAACTCAAGATTACCAAGGTTAATCAATTTTGAAGTTCTATTTCTATTCCATTCAGTTTTATCCTTTTTAATCTCTTTTGAAAATTATTTTCTATGTTTATTGAGTGACCATGAGTTTAAATTTTTGGATTTGATCTATGTTCCCTTACAAATTGCTGTTTTTTTTTATGTCAATTGATGTTAAATTCTGTTTTTGTGGTATTAGCACATTGAGGTTAGCAAATTGGTGAAAGGAAGACCTCTTGACAACCTGGAGTTTATGCAATGGTTGAAGAGATACTGCGATTCTGTTAATGGGGGCAATCTTCACAGGTAACCTTTTGAACCTATGTTTCTCTGTTGCAATTTTTTGATTTAATTCTTTTCAACAACCTTACTTACGGTCTGTGTATGTTTGTGCTGAGGCATGCATTTCCTGTTATGATGGAAAGAGTGAAAACTGGACATTAGGGCACAGAAATTGTTCATCAATGTAGAGATCAAGATAGAAAATGTCCACCAAAGAGAGTTGAATATATTACTAGGTGTATTTAATAGGTAAAACTTGTCATATATTCGTACAGTAAAACTGGCTTGAGTTTATGAAAAGGTTATGAACCGAATTGTCAGATTTGCTTGGGTCAAAATGAATTTTTGTTGCAGATCCAAGCCTGCTTGCGCCTTGCAGAACTCAAATTTCACTTGTTTGTCTTGATTTGTTCTGTTTTTTAAATTTTCCTAGCTTGCAGCTATGCAATCAATTAGTTAAAACTGTACTGAAGCTCTGTATGTTGCTTGGTCTTTTAAAAAATACCGCTATGTGTGTGTCGGATTTGGATCCTCCAAATGCTATCCTATGCATTTTTGGAGCAGCTGACATGGGTGCGGGAACATTTGTGAGGATATGAGCAAACATAGGATGCTTTCATACATAATAGGGCTATGTTTCAACTTTTGTTTTCATTTTTTTGTCTTTTTTTTTTAAAAAAATAAAGGTTTCTGATATTTTAATTTGGTTAGTTGTATCGTTTTTCAAATTGACCCAATCTTTTGGATTGGTGGATATAGGCTACATCGGTTGTAAATCTTGAGTTCAACCAGTTAGTGTTCGACAGCATTAGGATATTTTATGGATCAGGGTTAACACCTCTATTCTACAATGATAGAACATGTATGTATGGTTACATTTTAAGCCCACTACCGATCCTACCAAGCTCGTGCTCCTTTTCTGAGTTGCGTACTGGACAAAAAAATAATGAACTCAAGAATTCTATACTGAAAGTCTCCTCGAGCAACTTCAAAATAAGTGTTAAGATAAGAATATACTGGTCAGAAGCTCTTTTATTCTTCTATCACCAACCACGTCCATGATCATTGTTTCTAGACAATCTTTACTCTCCACCAATGCTTGCAAAGCATGGTGAGTACTCCCAAGTCCATATAGAGAAAGGTTGCGGTATGTTAACAACAATGACAAAACGTCAAAAGTAGTCAAGTTATAAGGATCTTTATGAAAATGAACGCGGCTGGATGTGCTCTCTTCAGCATGAAATATACTTAAATAAGGCAGAACAGAGATAGAGGAATTATAGAACCCCAACCCCCCCCCCCCCCCCACTAGTTCTAGGTTTGAAGAATAGTTCATAGTTGGTTGATTTAATGTATTAATTGCAAAGTAGCCTTGTGATGCTACTTTTGTAGAATTACTGTATGACCTTTCATATTTATGGTTCTATCGGCAGTGTATGAAGCATTAGCTCAATCTTATACTCTCAGAAATTGTTTACCTGCCAGTTAACTTGCATTAAGTATTCATTGTTTTTCAATTTCAGTTACAATCCTCTTGAAAGAAGGGAGGGGTGCAAGGGTGCCAAAGAAGTGAACAAAAGATCTGCTCCTTCACAAAATGCTACCAAAAATGCCTCGACTGCTTCAAAGCATGTCTCCCATAACACTAGAAGAAATGAAGTACCTCATGTAAGCAGCACAAATCAATCTGGTAAGATCTCGAGGCCTTCTTCAAGTGGAGGATCGTCAACCTATTCTGAAACTGAACGTACTGCACATGAACAACAGGTAATCCTAAATGATCAGGTATGGTTTTGTTTGAACCACTGAAGACTTATTACTAAATTCAATGCAGATTACGGAGTTGAAGTTATCAGTGGATAGTCTTGAAAAGGAAAGGGACTTTTACTTTTCAAAATTGAGGGACATTGAAATCCTGTGCCAATGTCCAGAGATTGAAAACCTACCTGTACTACTCTTTCTATTCTCTAATCAGTAAAGTTATACAATTTTTTTATAGCTGGAACCTAAGCCTATTCAATTTTGTTTTTATCTTATATCTTACAGGTGGTTGATGCAGTGAAGAGGATTCTGTATGCTATGGATGATGATGCATCACTTGTAGATACTGAAGCCATGGTATCTGAGCAACACCAGCAAGTAGAGACATTAAGTTGCATATCTGAAGAGGCAGAAGAAAGGCTGAGGGTAGACACTCAAAAGAGAAAAAACATTGTCAATGTTGACGTTGACCTTGCTGCCAGCAACACATTGTCTCCAAGGCAAAGGATTTCTGATGCTTCTGATGTCCATTGCAGTGGATCACTTGTGACATATTGATCAACCTTATCTCCTAATGACTTGTTCAATCTGGATTGGGGAATAATTCCTGCTACCGTCTTTGTTACTCTAGATACATGTTGTCCCAGCATACTTCATTTCTAAGCAATACCGTATGAGGAATTCCATCAGTATAGAAGTAGTGAATATAAAAGCCTATCTTGTTCGTATGATTGTCTTTTGTGTACAACATTGCCCTATGTTATTATTGTTCTATAGCAACTATTGGCAACTGTACTGGTTGCTTTGTAGTCACTGCACTGTAGTGCAAATCTTGGATCATTTTGCCTATGATGATTACTGTGGTTTAATGGATGCTTAAGTTTCAGTCATCTTTTTGTGGATCCATTTTCATTTCTTATTTGTTTTATTATTACTAGCACGTTTGGGAATTCTAACATGCACGAATGTATGCGGAATTAAATAACTGCTATGCGAATTAGCAATGTGTATTAAACTTTGTTATTGATGTACAATTGAAAGAACACCACAAAAGAATTTCTTGGTTCAAATTTTTTCACATTTTGTCTTCACAAATATTTACTTTTTTGTTCAACAAATTATAATCGCATGCATTTCTATATGTACAAGGTAATTGACATGGGATTTTGTTTTTTGAGGAAGTTACAGCACATAAAATTAGAACCAACTGAAACGACCAATCTCTAGGTGACCATCAGTTCGCACAATAGGCGGCCTTAAAATTAGGACCAATTAATCAATTTTTAAAATAAATCCAGATTTACAATTTGGAATACAAGCGCTATCGTTATTGTTGAAGAAGAATTCTGGAAGAGCTTAAATATGAATTCATCAACTAATAAGGTATGGTTTGCAGATCCAAATCAGTCTTTTTCTCTTTTTGTCTTGCTTGTCATAAGAAATAAATAGAAATTGTGTGTATCATATTTACTTAAAAAAGATATTGACATTACAGGATACAGAGGATGTGAAGGGAATGGAAAGGAGAGTGGAAAGTGTGGATTACCAATCATCAGTTGGGCAAGGACAAGAACAAAGACCTGTAGAATTAATTCAATCAAACACCAGTGGTGGTGTATTAGCTAATGCTGCTGCCTCTGTTGCATCCACCCTCGAGTCTGCAAAAAGAGCTATTTCACGGAAATAATATATCTCTTGTCTAATTTTTCTAATGCCTACCTACTTGTTTATTTTTAAATTGCGAAAAGTTCTTCATGTAACTCAACCTATACATGTGTCCATAGTTCAGTCTTAAAAAAAATATTCATCGTGATATCTATTAATATTGTTCACTACTCTCGTATAAATACTTGATTTTTTTAAATCGGATTTTTTTTTCTAACCTACATTATTGTCACTCTGTTATAAAAGATAAAAATTTGATTATTGCATTGCTCTCAATTCTCATACAAGTAATATGTGATTTGTCTGTAGTTGCAAATTTAAAAAGGGAACCTGCTTTTTAGTACACGTAGGTACGAAATCACCAACGGATTGGAGAGTATTGTTAAAAGCCAGATGCTTTTCTTAGCCAAAAAGTGAAATAAGAATAAATTTTAGTAATACTTTATTCTCCTAAAATATTATCAGAATCATATTCTCTTCCTTATTTTCCTTTATTTAAGATTCGGAAAAAATTGCGATTATACAAAAACTATAGTCTATTAGTGAAGTGGCGATAAACTAAGTCAGTAGTATTTCATTGTAGAGCAATGGGTATGTCAATTTCCAAATTTGTAAAAAAATTATTTGCAAAGAAAGAGATGAGAATATTAATGGTAGGACTCGATGCGGCTGGTAAAACAACTATCTTGTACAAGTTAAAACTCGGGGAAATTGTCAATACTATACCTACTATTGGTATTTTTGCTATCTCACCCCTATATACGTTTAATTACTACGAATTCTATATGTTCAATTGCAAAAAAAAGAACTTCATATTTGATTATTATTTTAAATATATACATTAATTGAAACTAGGATTCAACGTGGAGACAGTGGAGTACAAGAATTCCAGCTTCACAGTATGGGATGTGGGAGGACAAGATAAGGTATTTAATAATAAATTAATTGTCAAATATATATATTGGAATGAAAGTTAGTTAGTTACTAGGTTGATGAAGATTATATTAATGTAACTAAATTGTTTTAGTAATTAATTGTACAGATCCGGCCTCTATGGAGGCATTATTTTCAGAACACACAGGGTCTAATATTTGTTGTAGATAGTAATGATCGAGATCGAATTTCAGAAGCGAGAGATGAGCTACATCGCATGCTCAACGAGGTTATATTATAGTGCACCCTTCGCCTCAGATTAATTGTCACCTGAAATTTTTCTAAAAACTTTTAAAATTGTGTTATGCAGGAAGAATTACGCGGCGCTACAATTCTTGTATTCGCAAATAAACAAGACCTTCCAAATGCTATGAATGTTGCAGATATCACTGATAAACTTGGCCTTCGTTCACTCCGACAACGACGCTGGTAATATCCAGATAAGGGATCTGAAAAGCTCATTTTCTTCTGTTCAAATTGTAAGAGGACAAGAGATCTCATTTTTACGAGTTTTTTTTTTAGGTACATCCAGAGTGCTTGTGCAACATCTGGACAGGGGCTTTATGAAGGTCTTGATTGGTTATCACATAATATTACTGGCAAGGCAAGAACATTATTGCCTTTTAATCTCCTCTTTTAATTTCATTTTTTTCTCACCAAAACAAAACTGAATTTACTTGGTTAAAATCATAATTGCAGGCATAAATTCTGTTGTGCGGAA